TTTTTATGTATAATTATAATGCACCAAGGGAAAAAAAAAATACATACAAATAAGTAGAAGAGTAGAGAAAGAGGGAAAGGGAAGTAGGAGGAAAGGGAAAGTACTGGAGAATTAGAGGAAATTATGCTATGTGCATGTGTGAATATATCACAATGAATTCCACTATTATGTATAATTATAAGGTACTTATAAAAACAAAAAATCCAATCATTATTTCAAGAAGAACTTGACAAATCCACTATCACAGTGGTAGATCTTTAATACACTTCTCCTAATATGTTAAGAGAAAGTTCATAAAGATAGAGAAAGTTTGGACAATGTAATTAACTAAATCTGGCCTGCATATAGCATAGAATACACCTACAAACCAGAGTGGGAAAAGAAATACCAGAGTGTGTATTTCTTTTCAACTGCACATGGAACTCATACAGAATCTAACTATGTCCATGAAGCAAATTTCAACAAATTAGTCAACAGACCAAATTCTCTGATGCAATTTAAATTTTCTAACCAAATGTTCCTCGTTTTTAAGCAAAAAAAAAAAATTCGAAATTCAGGAGTCACTCATACTGGAAAGAGTATTATTTTACATATTCTAATTCTTTGAAGGGTGATTACATTAGTACAGTGTTATTAAGACAACTGAAATAGTCACAGAATAATCAGAAAAATTACTAAATCGTTTCCTATTTTGAAATAATACCTGCTACTTTGTAAGAAGCTAAAACTAATTATGAGCAATTTGCAAAACTGTGAAAACATGCAAGAATGGTTTCCTAGAAGAATAAAACTCCAGCCATAGAAAATTCGAAAAGCTAGTTAATATTAGCCTAAAAGAACAAAAGAGGGAAACTAGGAGTCTTGAAAAAGAAATTATCTTTAAATCCTTGGTTAGCATTAAATAAAATTGCTATTTAACTATAGAAGTATTTGGTTTGAGGTTTAAATATTTTAAAGAAAGAGATAGGAATAGCACAAGAGCTTCTCAAATATTTTATTTTGAAATGTCACTTTGAAATAAGTGACATAAGCTTGCAAAATAGAGGTAACTGTTTTGTCTTATTTGTGCATACCCAGAAAATGCTGAAGACTCTAAAAGAATAATGAGAGGATTTGGTAAGATGACTAGATATGAGAAGAAAATCTGTAAAGAAATAGCTTCTGTTTTTACCAATAATAATCAGCAATAATAAAGGATTTTTATTGCAATTTTACTGCAAATAGAGGAAGAATGGGATATAACTTGGCTATACCTCTACAAGGGAATGGTTGAATATGTAATAGGCCCTATGACATAGTAAGCAGTTTTTTTAAAGAATGAATATATACATGTGTATTGACCTAGAAATATACTCATGATACATTTGTGTGGGGAAAAGTCAGTAGTGAAAATATGTACACAGTAAAATCTCATTTTTTTAATTGGTTCTTTTTTGTTACACATGACAGTAGAGTTCATTTTGATATAATTATATATAAGCACGGAATATCTTACTTTAATTAGGACCCCAGTCTTACGGATGTACACGCTGATAAGTTTCACTGTATTCATATATATATATATGTATATATATATATATGTATATGTATATACATAGAAAATTACATATTACATATTCATTCCACTGTCTTTTCTTTTCCAATCCCCCTCCCTTCCCTCATTTTCCTTTTTCTAATCCACTAAACTTCTATTCTTCTTCTCCCCCTCTTTTTGTGGGTTAACTTCCGTGTATCAGCAAAAACATTTGATCTTTGGTTTGGGGGGAATTGGCTTATTATTATTATTATTATTATTATTATTATTATTATATTTCACTTAACATGACAGTCTCCAGATACATCCGTTTATTGGCAAATATCATAAAGTCATTCTTTACGGCTGAATAATACTCCATTGCGTATATATACCACATTTCCATTTATCTGTTGAAGGGCACTTAGGTTGACTCCATATCTTAGCTATTGTGAATTGTGCTGCGTCACTTATTATGCTGATTTTAAATCCATTGGATATATAATGTGGAGTGGGAATCTCCTTCTTTAAAAAAGGGAGATGAAGAACTCTTCTATATGTTTGTTAATAAAGATTACTTTGAGATATATTCTCTGTGAAAATCCACTTAATACCAATATCAATGTCTAAGATAAAATATCCAACGAAAATTAAAAACAAGAAGATAACCTAAAATATAATGACTAAAGTAGAAAAAAAAGCAGAATTAAATTTTTTAAAATCTTTATAATGCAAAAGAAATAAAGCAAAGCCTTAAAAACCCTTCTCCTAAATAAGCAATGGCAGATGCTAAAAATGGAATTCTAGGAAGAATGCATTACAATTTTAGTTATTTAATTTAGACTATCATAGTTTCGTTAAAAATAAAAAAAAAATTGGTACAAAGAGAAAAACAGTGCATGCTCTAGTAGGTAAGGAGTAAAGTTGAAACTAAGAAATCCCAATTGATTTCTCTATGCTTGCAACACTTCTGTCACCAAATGAGTGGGTTTTCCACACCAAGCAATTATCTGAGGACTCCAATTTAATTCTGTCACTAACTACCCTAAAGGAGCCCCCCACTGATTAAAGGGCTCAGTGCCTCACCTTGGATGGCAATCACGTGTCTGGGCTGGGCCTCCCATACTTCTGACCAACTGGCTATAGACCAGAGCTCCCCATTATCCCTCCTCTGATTCAATAATTTGCTAAAGTGGCTCACAGAATCCAGGAAGGCAGTTGAGGGTACCAGTTTATTACTAAAGATAAAACTCAGGAACAGCTGAATGAAAGGAATGCCCAGGGTACAGTACGACAGAGGTGCCAGGGAGCCTCTATCCCTGTCTGGGTGCACCACCCTCGAGCACCTTGGTGTGTTCACCAACCCAGAAGCTTTGGCCACTGGGGATTGACTCAGTCCCCTGCTCTCCCACCCTCAGATGTAGGTGGACTGAAAGTACCAGTGCTTGAATCACATGGTTGGTTCCCCTGGCAACCTTCATCACTCCAGAGCTCTTTCAGGAACTGGGGAACAAAAACAAAACAACAACCACAACAAAACAAGATGCTTCCATCCAGGAAGTCACAGGGCTCTTAGAATCTCTGTGGCAGGAAGTGGGTGGGTGAGAAGACCAAATGTATATTTCTCACTATGGCACACCAATTTTTAAAGAGTAAGAATGAAATGGACAACAGTGCAAGAAAAAATGGTTGACCTAGAAAACAGAACCCTAAGCCTTTCACTCTTAAGTCCAATGCCAACAGAAGCTTATGAATATGAAAATTCATAGACAACGTGTAATACAGCAAAGCCAGCAAATAAGTGGCTCTCATGCCACTCCTCCCTTCCCCGCCTACCCGGCCCACTCCCAAGACAAGTCATTGCTAATCTATCCCAGCAGTCTTCTCCTCCAAGCCAATATAGGGCTTCTCAAGTTTCTCAGCCCAGTGTTTGGGCAGCCTCTCCCCAGTGCTGGTAGTTACAGTGTACAAAGAAAACAACTGGTTTCTATCTATCAGAGAGTCACATCATCTAAAAATAATGGGGGGGGGGGCAGGGAACAGCTTACTGTTTCTTTAGTAGGAGAGGATCCAAAATAAGAATTCAGCCTGAAAATGGGAAAGGCAGCCAGGTTCTCTTCAAGATATACCAGTCAAGAGAGACATTTAGATCTATGCTTGTTAAATCCCTGGAACTTCAGGAATGAAGAAGGATGACTTGAACAAAGGAAGAGAAAGAGAATTGTTCAGGCATCATAGATGGGACCCACCTGAAATGGTTCTATTGGGAAGCTGAAAAGGATTGATAAATCACAGAACCACAGACATTCCCCAGTGGGCAACCTCATCTTCAAAAGATTACCCAAGGGGCACTTGGTTTGTATAAGCTACAGTTGCTCAAAATAAATACTGTAAGGACTAAAGGGACCGCTGATGTCAGGTTTAATTTGTTTGTATGGCAGCCCTCAAAACTACAGAGGAAAGCCATTTAAACTCATTTCAGAGTGTCAGTTCTGTCAATCCTGAATGAGTTGTGGAGAATGAATTAGGTGACTCTAGAAGTAGGCGATGTATTTCAAGAGCTATGGCCAAGTTCACCTGTATGGAGGCAGTAATAACTCTCATGTCTTCCACCTGGCTGGCAGCAGCTGTAGGATGCCATCGCTTTTAAGATAGAACCTGATTTTAGGGACGTTATAATGTGAAAAGTGTGTGCCTCAGAACTGATGAAATAGGACATGTCAAATAAGTTACCTTCCAGGTGGGCCTTAAAAGGAAAGATGCTCAAATCCGATAGATATGATCAAATGTGTACATCGTGTACAGGAATGGACAGAATGTTTTGAATAAGGACCCGACTGATTCTGCCCAGGGGAAGCAGAGAGGCTGTCCAGTTGGCACAGGGATACCCTTGGAGAAGACGGAATTGAAAAGAAGGGAGACACCCAAGAATGATGGACAAGAATTCACATATGACAAAATAGGTTAAGTGCCCCCTTCTGTGGTCCCAGGTGTTCAAGACCCAGTCAAAAGGCTTTACAATAATGCTGCCACTAGTACCAACATCAGATGGGCAGTAGTATCCCTCCCCTGGTAGGCGCCAGTACAGTTAGCCCTCTGTATCTGTGCAGGTTCAACTAAGTGTGGATCCAAAATATTCAACAAAAATTACGTCTATGCTGGACATGTACAGATGTTTCTTTCTTGTTAATCCCCAAATGGCACAGCATAACAACATATAGCATCTACATTTTAATATAAATAGCTTAGAGATGATTGAAATGTATGAAAGGATGTACACAGGTTATATGCAAATATTATACCATTTTATATAGGGGACTGAGCACTGCGAGCTTTAGTACGTGTAGAGGGATCCCGGAACCAATTCCCTACAGATACTGGGGGCCCCTGTTTTGGTGAGTGGGTGTGTGAATGAGTGAATAAGTGCATGAATTAGGGTTGTCTGCAGCCCAGGATAACAGCTGCTCTCTTTTCCCTTCTCACCCAGAGAAACTTGAGAGCGAGAAGCTAAATGTCGCTGAGGTTACCCAGTCAGAGATTGCGCAGAAGCAAAAGCTACAGACCGTCTTGGAGAAGATCAACGAAACCCTGAAGCTTCCTCCCAGAAGCATCAAGTGGAATGTGGACTGTGAGTGGAACAAAGAAATGGGACCTGCTGGAGCTGGGGTTGTGACTTAGTGGTACAATGCTCTCCTGACACATGCAAGGCACTGAGTTCCATCCTCAGCACTAAATAAAAATAAATAAATAAAATATAGTTATCGTGACCATTTACAACTAAAAACAACATATTAAAAGAAAAAAAGAAAAAGAAAGGGACCTGTGATATAACACTGTGGTGTCTACCAGGAAGCCATCCCTAAACTGGCAGGTCCTGAGTGTGAACCCATCCATCTTTAAGTGAGATGTACCTCTGGTGGGATGTGGGAAGGATGTCAAAATGCAGTGTCCCTTTGGTATAAAAGGCTTTTCTATATAAACCTCACGTGAGATTGGGAGAAGGAAACAAACTTGGTGAGCCACATCTGAGACCCAGCACAGCCTCTTGAAAAAGCTATCTTCTCCAGTGTCAGAGTCTTTGGGACTCTGGGGTCTGCACATCCGTGCAGCCGACAAGCAGTGAACAAGGACTCAGCCATGTCTGTCCACAGTCCATGCCCAGCCACACCCCCTTCAAAGATACAGCTGAGGGTCTCAGGTCACAGGACCTGGAACAGGAGTTTTAAATTCAGCCTTTCACAGGCAGCATAGCTCAAGGATCTCCGAAAATGTCAATCATTAATTCCTTGGCTGCCTTAAGGGCCTGCTGTCTAACATAGACATGATGAGCCCATATCTGAATCTACATTGAATCTGCAGATCGCAGAGTCTAGCAATGACAACTTATTTCCTATGAGGGAGCCCAAAGTTGCTTTGTTCTCCCTAAAAGTAGAATTTAGATTAATAAAATTATTTGACTGTTTTTTCCCTTTGTTTCAAGTATTAGCACTATACTCGGTTATATCCGACTGACACAACTTAAAGTGGAGATCTCCCTTAAAAAACAAACAAACAGTAGGTGGGGTTGAATGTTATTTGCTGGTATCTCCACCCTCAGGATGGTGAAGGTTATTAGGGTGGGCTGATTGGTCGTGGGGGTGGAGTTCCTGGTTTGGAGAAGGTATCTGTGTTTTAGAAATCCTCAGTAGAGACAAACATTAGAGAAGTCCTGGAAGAAAGAACCACTTAGCTTTGCTTAATCCTGTTTACCACTCCCTTGCCTACGGTCATCTGTCTGTCTGACCCCCTATAACAAAATAAACACTTCTAATTTATCATGGCACCCAATTTAGGAAAGACTGAGATAAAAGGATGGAATTTTTTTTAAAGCCACATTAAGAACTGACTTCAGTGACTATGAATGTTTTGGTTCGTGCTTACTTTAATTTCTTATGGGGAAGTGTGTACAAGAAAAATAATTACTCATATTACCACCCTGTTTTAGCTACTTTTGTTTTTCCCCCACTACTGGCCACATCAATGTATATTTTTACTTGGTTAAGTCATGGCACCACTGTGTGGTTGTTTTTTCTTAATGTTTTATCATACATATATTTTTTGTGTCCTTGTGGTCTTCACAGTTATAATTTTGACAATGCTTTTATCTGCTGGGGTAGATCTACAGTTAAGTAATCCCCGAGTTGCTGTTGATCAGAGCGTTTTCCAACCTATTGCTAAAATCAGATAGTGCCAAGTTCAATGTCTGAACTTGTGTCTCTGTTTGCTTTTCCTAAGTTATCCCCATAGGTCGGTCTCTGGAACAGAGACGAACTACTAGGTCAGAGGGAATGACCGGCTCAGGGGCTAGCTACTTCTGGCACCTCAGGGCTTCCAGAAGACAAGGGGTGGTGGTTGGTGCATTCCATAAGGAACATGCAGGCTCGAGGAGAGAAAGGCTCCAGCCCTCCTCACTGTTACCAGCACTAGCTGTGTATCTGGGGACGTCATGTTGTCACTGTGCTCAGGACAAGGGTGGCAGGAAGGGGCTGCTAGGTTACCAAACTCTTTGATCTAAGTGTATAGGTATTTCTTTTCTTCTACTTATAACAGTAGTTTTCTTTCTCTCTTTTCCCCCCTCATCACTCACATATTTTATAAATATATAGAGAAAGAGACAATCTTTCTAAGTCCCAGTCTCCAAAGCACAATTCTGAAAAAGCAAGAGAAACAGGATACCACTGCATTAAGTTGTTTAAGCTCGACTTGCTCTATAGTTTTCATTAGTGAAAATTTAGTAAACACAGGTCATTTGGAAAAAAGTTAAGTATTAATATCTACTACATGCTATGGTGCTCATTGTATCCCTTGTGTTTTTCTAAACACTTCGCATTTTTATCCTTGTCATACTCCTCTCTCGACCCTCTGAAGTAAGAACTTATTATCCCTATTTCACAGATGGAGAAAGCAAGGCATAGAGAAGTTAAGACATTATGAATATGAGCTTCATGAGGACAGGGGGGTTTTGTTTCTTCCTCCTATATCCCTGGAACCAAGAAGAATGACTGGCACATATTAAATACAATAATAATTGCTAAAGAAGTGTAGCTAACCAGGGTCACATGGGTGATGAATAATGGAGCCAGGAGTCAGACCCAGAAAGTCCACTGCAGACTCTGGGTACCAAGCCTGCACATCTAGCCCCATTAGCTGTCCACCCAGGGTTAGGCACTGTGAACACTGTAGTGTTTCTTCAAGTAGTGTGTGTGTCTGTCTGTGCAGAAAGTAATTTGTGTGTACAATATTTTATTTGTGTGTGTATATAATATACGTATAATGTATATAATATATACACAATAACATACACACACACACACACACATCAAAATAATAGCACTCCCTTATCCAAGAAGGATAAGTTCCAAGACCGCCACTGGATGCCTGAAACCACAGATAGTACCAAACCTTATATGTGCTGTTTTTTCCTGTACATGCACAAATTTAATGCCTTTTCCATGTTAACTAAGCATTTGTCATACACTGTTGCCATACCTTTTGTGGTTTGAGGTGCCCAGGAAAACTTACAAGAATTTCTTTTTCCTTTTTCACAATTTCACAGAAAAAAACATTCACTCTTACCATAGATCTAAGCAACCTCAGCATATACTTGAGAACTTTTACCTTTTCACTTAAAGAAAACACTTCATATCTTCTCTTTGCCGTATCTGAATTGCCAGCGTCACTATTCTTACACTTTGGGGCCATCATTAAGTACACTAACACAAGCACTGTGCTGCCAAGACAGTCAATCTTATAACTGAGATAGCTACAAACGACTAATGGGTGAGTAGCATATACAGTGTGGACACACTGGACAAGGGTTGATTCACATCTTGGGCAGGACAGAGTAGCATAGCCCAAGATTCATCACACAACTCAGAATGACATGCAATGTTACGCTGATTATTTATTTCTGGAATTTTTTTTTTAAGTACTTTTGGACCACAGTTGACTGTGGGTAACTGAAACCACAGAAATTAAAACCATTCTCTTGTACTGGATATAAATGTCTTTCAGAGTTGTGTTTTTAATGATACATTACACAGTAGTGAACATCTCTGTCTACATTGTGTATGTGTGTGTGCGTGCGCACAAGAGACAGAAAGACAGACACAGATTCTTTCTTTTGAAAAAAAATTCCCAGGAGAGCAGAGCATTCATTGAAAGGGTCTGATGCTTTCGATATTGCTCTGTTACTCACCAAGACAGTCTAGATGACATATAATGTCACAGGTGATAAGAACAATTTCTTCACCCACAACTTTTCCAGCATAATGTTTTGTCGTTAAAAGCACATATGCAAATATGCTTACAACCCTCAGGGTCAAGCCTGTAGGTGGCATGAGTTATGACCAGAAGTACAAACCCTGTCTCTGTCCCTCAGTGACCATATTATGTCTGGATCCTCAATGACCATGTCATACCAATGGGTCAGCCCCCATACGGGGCTTTTTGTTCCGTGGCTTTATTTTTTTGTTTCTTGCAGTGCTGGGGATTGAACCCAGAGTCTCTTGCACACTAGGCAAGTACTCTACCACTGAGTTACATTCCCAGACAGTAGCCTTCTTTGAGGTTTTAACTCTGGGTAAAACTTGGTAGTCAATGCCCAGAACTGAATCCTTCTGGAAGGCTGGGAGTCTGGAGCCATTGTCTACTGTTTGGTAGTAAATGTTGAGCTGCCACTCAGAGTCAGCAGAAATCCTTCTTTGAAATAGCAGTGATGACCAGAAACTCTAATGAATGCCAAAGGGATGTCTGAATCATTTCCTTTCTTGGTAATTTCTCAAAACTGCTGTTAAAGCAGATTTATTGCTCTTAAGGAAGACAGAAGGACCCCGAATAATGCCTCAGTGCATGCTAAGTGCACAAAATGGGCACTTTGGGTTCTTCCCTTAAATGTTCTCTGTAATGAGGAGCCACGAATCTGGTAGGACCATGAAGACTGGTAAAGTATCTGGCGAGTCTTCCTTTTATGAGAAAGGTGGGGAAGAAAGCTAACATGTTTTAATTAATTGCCGAGGTGCCAGGTACTTTCACATAAGTTATAATAAAAACATACCTGTCATTCCTGGGTACCTGCTGTGTTCCAGGAGCTTTATTTATCTTTGGAAATCCTTACAACTTGTGTATTCACATAAGTACTCTCCACCCCAAGGTCGGTAGCCAGTAGATAAATGGTAGAATTAATGAAGTCAGAATTTAAGGTGCAGGCAGCCTGACCCTATAGGCACCTCATCAAATCAGTCTTTTTCTTCTCTACCCAGAAAACACCAACCCAATAGGGCCAAGCTTCCCTAGTAGAAATGGCTTACCGTTCAGCACCTGGCTCAGCAGGTCTGGACGCCTGCTGGGTCATGAACATCCCTCCCAGCTACTCCCCCAGGGCATTGCCTACACTGAGAGAGCAGCAACAGCCTCAGGATAGCCCTCTTGTCTTCCTCTAGGGATCTTCAAAGTCCTGAACAAAGGAGGGGTTCCTGACTTAGTGTCCATCTGTTGAGGGTCTGATTCATGTTCAGCCTAGGGGCAGAGATAGTGGTGATAATCCAGAGTTCAGAGTCACATGGGAAGGGAGAGGGTGCAGAGCAGACATGCTCATGGTTATCCAAATGGAGTAAACAGGAACATGGGGCTGCAGGGACAGATCTGAGCTCAGAACCCAGCAGTTGTCAGGGTCCTGATGGGAACCTGGGATTAGAGTATAGGTGACACATTGGACATCCAGCAATAATACAATCCAAGAAGACCAAAAACTGAGGGTTCCAGGGTGAGGCATGTGATGACCAAGGGTGTCCCTTCACCTTTAGGGTTAAGGGAGCATTGGATAGGGTACTGCTGCATTTTGAATCTCTGCTTCTATTGCCTAGCACCTGAGACTCCTAATTTCTAAACCCTCTTCCATTTCAGCTGTTCACGCCAAGAGCCTGGTGGCCATCTTGCATCTGCTGGTTGCTCTGTCTCAGTATTTCCGAGCACCAATCCGACTCCCAGACCATGTTTCCATCCAAGTGGTCGTGGTCCAGGTAAGATGGACACCGCCACCACAAGCATGTGTGCCACTAAAGAGTTTTAGAGACTGAGTTCCTGTGACAGTGAAGGCATGCTGGGTAGATTGGTGGAAGTACAGCTGGATGGATACAAGTGTGTTGAGAGGCACCCAGGGGAGCTTTCCAGTGCAAGCTGCACTATCCCGAACAAGTGTGCAAAGGACAGGGGGAAATGTGCTTGTGTGCAGTATAGTGTTGTGGGAGGTGTGTGCCTGGGGTTTACGTGTTTTGTAGAAGAATGGTTTGTGCAATGTGCAGCTAAGAGTGTGTGTTGTGTATGTTTGTATAGTGTATGTAGTAGGGTCAGAAGGATGTATGCCTATGTGCACATGCTATATGTGCATTTGTGTACAGGAGTGTGCAGAGTCCCCAACATGTCATAGAGAATGTGTGTGTGTGTGTGTGTGTGTGTGTGTTTAAGTTAAACAAATGATGGACAGGTATTGGGGAGAGGCAGGTATGGTGCATAAGGTAGTGTGTGTATAAGAGACCCCACTGGCAGGTCAGTCCTGGAGGCACTGCTGCTTCTCAACCGCCCAGTGAAGCACAGCTGGGACTTCAAGTCATCTTTTCCAGATTGTTGGATGGAATTTCCATTCGCATATGGCTGTGTAATTTCCACAATGAGGGTGTGCTCGCTCCCCATGACTATCTCCCTCTGCTTCTAACCCTGTTAAGTATTCAAATGCAATTTTATTTTCCAGCTTTATGCCCATTTAGCAAAAGGTCATCATTTTGTTTGCTCATTTCTGTTCTTTTCCAAATAAACATGCTACAAGGGAGAGCTCCCCATACAAGCAGCTCGCTGGATGTCCAGGACTAGCCAGGGTTCCTGGAATAGAGAACAAGATGGCAGCTCTGCCTTCCCTCAGTGAGGGAGAGACTTGAGGGCTGGTAAACTTTGCCTAGTCAGACCCGTTTCCAGGACAAAAGGACTTTGAGCTGAACTCTCAGGGATCAAATGTTGGCAGGAGGGGAGGACACCACTGTGCTCCTAAGCAATTGATCAGTCAGGCTGTAAGGGAAAAGCATTTCTTCCACATCTTCTGGACTTAACTCTATGAAGCATCAAGAGAGCATAATAGAAATATATCACCTTGGGCCTGCCTGCAGGGGGTAGACCACAGATAGGAAGCAGACAGGGCTGTCAGCAGCCAGCAGAAAGCTGTGTGGCTCAGACCAGAAGTGCAGCTGACCACCAGGTACTAGGTACTGTCTTTGTTTGTGGAGCTCCTCGCCTGTGTCAGGCCTCGTGCTTGACATTTTATGTACACTGTGAGTGTCCTGGAACAGGCTTCCTCCTAGAGAACCAGGCCATCTCCATTGTGTTATCCTAACCCATCTCATTCTGTTTTTAAAAACTACCACTGGGGAAGGAGGGATGAATAGATTGAGCAGGGCGGCACCAAGGTGAACCCCAACATAAAGAATGGACTGTGGATGAGATGGATGTAGGGGTACAGGCTCCTCATTTTGAACAGTATCCCACTGTTCTGCAAGTTGTTCATAGTGGACAAGATAGGACCCCATGAGGGGGCAGAGGAAAGATGGGCAGTTCCTGCACCTTCCTCTCCATTTCACTGTGAACCCTACAATTGCTCTAAAAATAAAACAGTCTGTCTTTTAAAATCATGCTGCCTGGAGTAATTCATAAAAGAGTACCTTGGTGACTAGATGTCATTAACATGGAAAAAAATATTTCTCACAACTAAGCATACTGCCATTCTGTTCATGCAGAGGTCTTCCATGGCTAGTAGAGATAAATACTTTTATGCCAACTGGCCTTTTACTTCATTTTGTGACAGTCCATCCCCCATTCTCTATCCATTAATGTATCGAACATCTTAGTATTTTTCTTACCAGCTTGAATAAACAGACCTCTAACAGAAATAATAAAATCTGCCAGTTGGGATTACAAAAAAAAAAAAAAACACCCAAGAACAATTGAAGATTTGAGCAGGGAGAGGGGCTCCTATTTTGAAAGAGTGCTCTCTGCAGGCGCCACTGCTCATGCCTTACTTTGATCTCAGTTATGGGCCACCAGAAGGCTGCTGTTGGTTTCTTTTCTCCTGTGGGCAGTTTTGTTAGCAGGAGGACATGGGGGTGGGTGGGGGGACTCATTACGTAAAGTGGCATCGGTGCTTGCCAGGTTTTACAGGGTGTTTTGCTTTATCAGGAGAACAGGCAAACAAGCAAGACTCCACATTGGCAGAAAGTCGCTGCTGAACTGCAGGGAGAGCTCTCTAGGGGACAAGTGTGATGCCACTGAGCGAGGGTGCCGCGAGAGGGGCTGTTGAACCCACGTTTTTCTTCTCCGTTTGCGTTTAATTCTGCATGAACCTGAAGATGAGGTTCTGTGTCTGTGAATGATCCCATAAGATACAGCACTCCATTAGATCTGTGCAAAAATTGGATATTTTAAAACTGAATTTGGATAAAGTCCTGATTTATTTTCACCTGGTTCCCTTTGAATACCTTTTTTTCTTTCTTAACTTCCTATTTGCTTTGATAGTCCATTCTTCTTCATCTAATTCGGATGATGCTTGCTTAACCAGCCCTGCCTTTCCCTAAGTAACAGTGTTCTGCAAGGGCCCTCGTGTCTGTGGCTACTGGGAACGCAAGGGGACATCTCTGGAAGTTTGGGCAGGAGGCTCAAGAAGGCAGCTGAGCGCCCTTCTCCCCCAGGCCCAGAGGCCCCTTCCTAACACTCAGCCTTTGGGAAGATGAATTTGCTGTCAATCCCATGCCACGGCCAGGTCCTTGGAGTATCCTGCTGGCTGTGTTAGGGACCCAGGAGAGTGACTCTCCCTCCTGATTTCCCTTCATTGGTTCCTTGTCCATAGGATGAGGGCTAAACTCTCCAAACAGGTACTCCAAGCTACCCACTGACTAACACCACCCCCCACACACACCGGCCTCCAAACAGTCTCTGGAACACATTGGTGCTGTCCTAACTCTGCCTTTTGGCTGGAGTCATTCTTGCCACTGGAATGACCTCTCCTCAGTGTCCAGCCAAATCCCATCTTCCCTCAAAGTTCTTGCTCCAGGACACCCTCCCCTCGCAAGATTTCCCTGACCCTCTGACCTGAAAATGCTGGCTCCAGCCCTTTCTCTCTGCAGAGAGTGACCACATCGTTTATTAACACTTTGGAGAACAGAAGAGACCCCATCCACAGGGCATGAACCAGGCCCATTGAGGGGGACCATCCTCACCTGCCTCCTCCTCATCCCCATTTTACTCCAAGTTTCTTAAGGCCTAAAATCACATTATATGCTCTACAGTATTATTGTGCCTCCAGCACAGGGCCTCATATCTAGAAGGCACTGTTCAGTAGGTAAGAGGAGGATGAACTGATGGGAGAGGGGCGGACAGGTGATGGACGGAGCGAGTCTCCAGGGTGCTTAACCTTTTCTCAAAGAGTCAACCTGATACTTAGGTGAGGATCGGACTACTTACTTAAAAGCTCCCCTATTCATCAGTTTAAAAAAAATCAAACCAACCAACCCGCTGCCTCTGTGTGAATTCTGGAGTTGGCCTGGGTTCCCCCTCCCAGCCCTGCAGTGAAGTGTGTTTCTCAGCTTCCCCGCGTGGCCTCAGCTGGAGGGCAGACACACCCTGGCCTTTATTTCCATTTGGTTTACTGTGTACTCCAGGAGGCAGTTTGCTTCCAGCAGAACGTCTTCCAATAAAGAAAAGGAAAGCCTCCTCATCCAAGAAACAGCCTACTTGTTTGGACTACACACTAATGCACTCACATCCTAATGGTACAGTCCAGTCCCCCCCAAATCAGGACCTTCTTTTCGCTTCCAGCGTTATTGCTTCTCTGGGTGTGTTTCTTAAAGAGCAGTAACTTTCTCAGTGTCAGGAATGCTAATCAGTTTTTCTGTATTTTTCTAAAGTCCTTTTTTTTTTTTTTCTCTCTCTCTCTCCTCTTCCCAACCCCTCTCCCCACCCCCATTTCAGAAACGAGAAGGAATCCTCCAGTCTCGGCAAATCCAAGAGGAAATAACTGGTAACACAGAGTATGTCAACACCATTGTTGCCAGCGAGTCTGTAATGGAACACAGATGTTTCTCCGAAATTCATCCATTTGCTGATATTTAGTTTTCATTTATTGGGATTGCAGGAGGGATTAGCCTGCAGCCAATGATTATAGTTTAGCCTTTTCCATGCATTCAAAACATGCCTCTTGATGCTTAAGGTACAAACTTGGGTGGGGAAGTGGGGAGAGGGGAATTAGCAGTGATTGAAAAATTCTAATTTTGTGGCACTCCAGGAAAAAGTGTACCCAAAAAAGCCAACCAGCATGAAATCGTCATGCCATAAACACGGGGTGGAATTTAAATTGTTAACCTTCAAAAGGACGTTTTTCTTCCTCTTCTGAATCTGATTTATTTGGTCACATGCCATGACCCAGAAAGTCCCTCTCTACCTTAGCACTGTCTTTTGGGTTTTTGTTATTTGTTTTTCAATTTACTTTTAGAAATTAGAAATATTAGGACATTTAAAGGGATTGCAATTTGGAACTAGAGCTTTGTTCTTAAGCAGAAAAAGAAGGTTGTTATTTGGGGTGGGTTGGGATCATTGGACAGGACCTGAGCAGAGCTGGGCAAAGTCTGTCTCCAGCCGTCCCTGATACCCAGCTTTTCTCTCTGTTCCTTTTGAACAGGAGCAACAGAGAGAAAAGAACTGAACCCTCTAAGCCAGCCTGACTTGAGCCCCTGAACCTCCTTGAGCTCAATTTCTTCATCTCTGAGTGGGGAGCACTTCCTAACCCAGAGGCATAGTGAGGTTCAGTGTGTTGGCAGTTATGCATCCCCTGCCCAGAAAGCAGCTGAACACACCTCCCAAGCTCCCTCCCACTCCAGTCATGGCTCGAGGCTCTGCATGTCTAGACGTGTGTGTGTGTGTGTGTGTGTGTGTCTTTTAAAAAAGCCTCGGGTGCATTTCAGGCCAAGGGTAGGGGCAGAGATGTAGAGTGGCCCTTCCCTAGAGACCCAGTCTATGGCTCACGGAGAGGTGCTCCAAGGGCCAGTGGTGGTAGTGAAGCCTCACATGAAAGCCAGCCTTGGTTCTGAGGCAGAGCTTCTAGGGGTTAAGCCTGCTGGGAAGGAGATCCTCGCTGTCCTACCTCCCTCCCTGGCTGGATTTGTTTATCACTGTGTTACTTTCAGGAAAAGAGGAAGACAAACCAGAGAGAAGCATGGCCTGCAGAAAGAATTCCTGAGTCAGGGAGTGTGATGTTTCAGATTCCAGAACCATCTCTCAGCTGCATGTTGTGCTTCCTCTGGCCTCTCCCTCTCTCTGCCACACCTTCTGGCACAACTCCCAGTAATGAGAACACAGTGCAACTCTTGAAGCCCTTTGGTACCTACTGATGTTCATAATAGACCTGGGAAGCAATGGTTATATGCCCAAAGGCCCACAGCCCAAGGGTGATGAAGGAAATTGTATCACTGATCTTTCCAGCAGTTATCCAAGTTCATTATTCTTTCCCAGACACTACACACAAATTGTCATTTAGTGGGTGATAGATGCACAGGTGGATAAGCCAATATCATAAGAATCCTAATGAGAAACAAAAGTGTATTTTTAAAAATGTTTTGAGCATTTCCTGTACCCTAAGAATTATGTACAATATCCCACTGAGATATTTACCTTTATTCTCATTTTAGAGATAAGAGACTTGAAGCCCAGAGAAGTTTAGTAGCTTGCTCAATCAAGATCACACAGCAAAACAAAATGGCTTGCGGGGCACTTAAACCGAAGTCTTCTATCTCTAATGATTATGCTCTTAAAACTTTGCTGCTTCTCTGCTATAAGTGATTCTAGTTGCTGGCCTGTTGAGAGAAATTTATCCTGCATCAATGGCAGGTGCAACTTCGGGGCATGACAGGAGAGACAAGGTTGACCTCCCCAGCCAGTTGCCCACAGCAACTTGGGCAGTGACCCTCCACATCAGAGGTGGCTTGATCTCTGCTCCTAAGAATCCTTAGATTCCCTCATTGGGAATCTTCTGCATGAGTCCAGTGTTTTTCGTAACTGCAGGCAGTCATGTGATTTTTAGTTAAAACAAGAAATGGTCCTTTAAGCAGCATCCTGCCAGTAGGTCAGTGTAGCAGGGGACCGAGGTGGTAACAAGAGTAAAGCCTCAGGAAGCAGAGACAATGCAGTATAAGATGCAGCGGAAGGAGGCTATTTGAAGTCCTCAACCATGAACAGGCAGGGAGGGTCTGGATCCTCTCACAGGATTAGCCTCTCCTAAGGGGTCAAGAGAATAGTCACCCTGCTTTCTTTCTCTTTTTCCTCCAGGGCTCTTTCCGGAAGGCATGGTGAGTTGCATGAGACTGGACGTGTGTCTGTCTGCAGCAGACTGGTTGGGGGAGGGGGGTGCAGCTAACTGGTGAGAAGAACAACTGCTGGCTACATCTGCGCAGCCCCTGCACCTTCAGGCAGTCTTGCTGGGTGCTTGGTGAGGAAGTAGGGGAAGAGATATACAAACACCCTTAGGGACTGTCCCTTTTCCCTGCTCCCTCAGCGCAGCTTCTACCTTCCCTGTGTCCCAGAACCTTGGGTTTGTTTGTTGATTTGGTGAACATCAGAGATCACCTTTGTAGCAGTCTGGAGTGAGAGAAAAAGGCAGGCCTCGGGCCACAAGATCTCTCAGCCCCAAATTTGTCTTGGAGACTCTTCCTGGTGCCTGCCTCAGATCCCCTCCCATCATTTCACCCCTGGGTTCTGAGAAAGCGGCAGTAAGAATCCATGCAGGGAGCACGTGGCGGCCATGTTGTTATGCTGACGGTTGCCCTGGGTTCTACTCTGTAATGTTTCAATCATGCTAAAAACAACGCATTGTTGTGCATGGGTGGAACATGTTCGAGTTTCTAGGGCACTTCTGTCCTCACGACAACAGGGGGAGGTTCATTTTAAAGATGACATTTTACAGAAGAGGAACCTGAGGCAGAGAATTAACATGACCTACATCCCTCAGGAGGAAGCACTCATGTTCCAACCTGGAGCTTCCCCGGTGCCCGTCCTCTTGTCTGTGACCTCTGCCAGGATGCTTGTGTGACTGACCTGCTTTTGAAACTTAGAGGGTGGGATGATTTGATATGTGGATAACATTCTACCTCAGATAGCTTCAGAAATGCTTCAGAACCATGACTACATCATGATATGACTAATCTCAGGTCACAGCCTGGCAGAGCCCCCACGCCCAGCTCAGCCCTGTACACCAGGGTAGACGCACACAGGAAAGGCCCTGAGGGTAACAATCAACCCAGCTCAGCCACAGGCCCAGACGTTCCCAGAACAGCCTGAACCGGAGCCTTCCTGATGGTAGCTAATTGACCACGTGGCCCTCAAAGGCTCATGGCTCTGGAACCTGGGTGGGCCTTCCTGCTAAGAAGCCACCGTGTGCTCAACATAACGGTTCTCTCTTTTCAGAACGCGATGCCTTCGACACCTTGTTCGACCACGCGCCTGACAAACTCAACGTAGTGAAAAAGGTGGGAATGAGGTGCCTCAAGGGAGGTGGGATGCCCACGACACTAGGAAAACCCACTCCTGTGGTGGCAGTGCTGGTGGCTTCCCCCAACGTCTTTCACCTGCTGTCCTCACTAGTGCCTCCTCCGGGTCCTTTCTTCTTCCATCGCATGCCCTCCCTGTCTTCCCCCCACACTGAGCCCAGCCTCCCTGCTCCCTGTGCACATTCCCTGTCTCCCTGGGCATAGGCAGCTGCCACAAAGAAGAGGCCAGAGGAAGGACCCAGCAGGACCATTTGCCTCTGGCCCCTTCCCAACTCCCCTTGCTCCCCCCGCCCCCAGGCTCAGACACCCCACCTGTCGTCCTGCCTCTTGGCACTTAGCATTTCCTCTCAGCTCTGCATCATGTGGGAGCTGTGCAGGGACTTGTACCTCTCCCTGCTGGCCTGGGGCCTTTGCACAGGATGCCCATCTTCACGGGAAGTCCCGGGGTGGCCTCGCATCTCAGTGTCCCTGCACTTCTCTTTTAGACACTCATCACTTTTGTGAACAAGCATCTGAATAAACTGAACCTGGAGGTCACAGAATTGGAAACCCAGGTGAGTGACAGCCCAGGTGTGGGTGGGGGAAGGGCCCTGATTGCCAGGCAGTGTTCCAAGTACCCCTCCCTGGGCCAGGAGGGTTTTCCAGGCTGAGACATGATGGGGGACCTGTGCTCCTCAGAGGGCTGAACTGGATGGATTGCTCTGTGGATTTTTTTTTTCCCAGCTTTGTATTTTGAGAAGTTGCAAGAACAAATACCTGTATGCTCTTCACCTGGACACACCTATTGTTAATATTTGGTCACATCTTTTTCTCTCTTTCCACCCCTAAATATTTCACATACATCTCTTAAAACAAATTCTCTTAGGTGACCACAGTACCATTATCAGATGAAGGCAACTATAGGATACCCCTCGATTGTTCTTCTCGTGATGAGATTCAGGGTGTGTTTTCTGTACCAGTACCCGCTAAGTGATGCTATGCGCCTCCTGGTGCCTCCAGAGATGGCACCTGTGTCCATTAGCCTCACAACTGGTAGTGACTGGAATCTCCTGGTGAAAAGTAGTGTCCACCAGATTCCCCAACTAGAATCTACCAGAGAGTTCTTTTTCTACTGTCTATACTCGTCTTTAATGGATTGTACCCTGACTCCCCACATCCTCTCCTTCCAGGTGAACTTCTATAGTAGGATTCCTCTTGCTGCCACCTCCCATTATCTGTAAAGGCATTGCTGAGTCTGAGTTCTCCACTGCGGAATGAACTTAGTATACTCTTTCATGAAATAAGGAACACTTTAGAAAAATGAAGCTTCCTCAAGGGGGCTAGAATAGGTTTCTAGAACTTTCACCTGCTTTCCAGGGCAGGGAGCCACAGCCCAGAGCTCTGGGGTCTGTTGTAGGTTTCCCCCACTGTTCCCACCTATTAGGCAGAACCAGCCATCCCAGGTGAGGAGCAGTCTGTGTGGGAGCTGCCCTTCCCCTAACCCAGGGTCCCTCCTAGGTTCACAGATTGAATTCTTTTACCCTCAACCTATTCCAGCCACAGCAAGGATGAGGCCCAGTTGACTGGCTTCCAGCCAGAGGGCATTGATTTTGACAGAGATTCTGAGATCTGCTCTCCTGTCTACCATGGGTACTATAAGATGAGCCACACTCAGACCCTACCCACCTCAGGTGGCAGGTAGGAGCCGGGAGGCACCACCCTAGGTCAGGAACAGGCTCATGTTCTCTAGCCCTCAGTGGAGGCTGAGCAGAGGCCCAGGCTGGCCACCCTGCAGAGCTCAGTGGGCATATGCACTGGCCTGACCCATACCTCAGACTTCCTACAGTGATCCCAAGAAACTGTGGCTGATACCCATGAGCATGTGCTGCCCCAGCCCACTTTGAAAGGTTCTAGAATATCAGATGTGCTCCAGACCTCTTTCTCAAGCCAGCTCCACCTGAAATACCAAATCCTTCTTAAGCCTGCTCCCCCGCTGCCCTCTCTACCACCTTCAGTAGGAGGGTGGCCTTTCTCAGTCTCTCAGAGCAGCTGCCACACAGCCTCCACAGCAGTCTCCATGGGACTGTGACCTTCTGAAGGGCAGGAGCCACACGTGATAGACTCCAGGCCCCACACCCAAATCAGGAGGGGTATGCTGTTAGTGCTCTGTAAATGCCAGTCAACTAAGACAGGGGTCTGTGCCTATGGCTCCTGTATTAGACCAGCCAGTTTAGGGGAAGGCCACTACAGAGCAGACTGCCCGCCTTGGACCACCACCCTCACCCCCACCCGCAGTCTGCATGGGGAGGTTGCCTTTGGGTGAGATAACTTGGCAGCAGATGAGCCCACTGGATGGGGCTTGGTGGGGGGACTTGGGCCAGCACTATCACCTGACTCTCTCCTTCACCTGGCTCTTCCCCTCACCTGGCTCTCTACCTCCAGTTTGCAGATGGAGTGTACCTGGTGCTTCTAATGGGGCTCCTAGAGGGCTACTTTGTGCCCCTGCACAGCTTCTTCCTGACCCCAGACAGCTTTGAACAGAAGGTAAGGGGGAGGGGCATCAAGGGAAGCCCATAGCCCACATCCAGCTGATCTGCCCTCCCCTTCACTGGGCTGTTGGGTCTTCAATGGTTGGAGGCGAGGCCCATTCTCATGAGCTGCTGAGCTGGGAAGGATCCACATGTAGAGCCTGAGCATCCCAAACAGTCCTCCCTTCCCCTAGCCACGTGCCCTTGCCAAGGGCACGTCCAGCTGCATCACTCTCCAAAGGTGACAGGGGAGGTGGCCGTGAGGCCGGTCAGACCTGATGCCCATGCCCAGCCTGGCTCAGACAGCCTCTTGTGAGCTGCCACATCCTGCTTGCTAGATAACAGGCATTTGGTCCAGAGATCCTTCTCTGCCTTTTCAACCTGTCTTGTCATCTGACCCTTCCCAATATGTGCAGTGACATCACCAAGCTTGAAGTCCTGGCAGTTGACACAGGAACACAGTAGGAAAGGAAGAGCCCGCTCCTCCGCCAGCCGACTGGGATCAGCTGCCCAGGCTCCACGTGGCCTGCCCCTTCTGTAGCCATGTTGCTGCTTCAGATTAGCTCAGCCTCTGCCCCTCCGCTACAGTGCCGAGCTCCTTCACTTCCCAGGAGCAGATCTAGGATGAGTATGCGATGACACGTACTGAGACATACCCTGTGCACCCTGCCTCTCTCTCTCCAGGTCTTGAATGTCTCCTTCGCCTTTGAGCTTATGCAAGATGGAGGTTTAGAGAAGCCGAAACCTCGGCCAGAAGGTAATGTGCTCTTCTCTGGGTTTGTGACCACAGGGCACAACCATCTCCCTGCACACAAGTATTCAGGACTCGGGGAGAGGCTCAGATTTTGTAGCAGGTTTTGTAGCAGCCTTCTTTTCTGAAGGCTTCTGTGGTGCTGTTTGCCGGGGAAGGCAGGACTGGGTATAGCCACTCAACCTTGGAGACACTGTGAACCGCAAGACACAGGACCACAGGAAGAAAGAATCTGAAATCCACAACTGGGATCAGGGCCCAAGTAGAAGTGCTGCTGCAGAAACTACCCTGTGCCAAATTTCCAGATTTTTCTATCCCTGCAGAGTGCTGACCTGCTGGTACAGTGGGGATGAAGGAAGAGCTTAGACAGCTCTGTGCTGACCCTTGCTGCCTCCCCTGTCCCAACAGATGGGGAGCTTTGCCAGCTCCAGCTGTGCCCCAGGATAAGGCTTAATTTGGGGGGTTTGGATTGCAAATAGAGTAGTCCCCTAGTATCCCTGGAGGATTGGTAGCAAGACTCCCCAAGAATACTAAACTCAGAGGACGTTCATGTCCTTCACATTGTATCATCTCTAAATTACTTATACTACTACCCAACAGTTGGCATACAGTATTATTTAGGGAATAATGGCAAAGAAAATAAAAAACTCCATACACGTTTGGTATAGATGCAACCTTTGAGGATTTTTGAGCCATAGTTGGTTGAATCCTCAGAAGTAGAACCTATGGATACAGAGGGCTGGCTGGTTGAGACTCGGGGAAGTGCAAAAGGAACAGATGCTCCCACAGCTCCCGTGTGCTCCCATGTGCTCCCGTGTGGCCGTGTGTGTGTGTGTGTGTGTGTGTGTGTGAAGAAGGCACATTTCTCTCAGCAGTCTTCTTGGTCCAGGTGTTTATTTTCCTGCCACTTACTGACTGCAGTGTTTTACCAGGCTGCATCACAGATAATGTCTGATTATGTCCAATTAGAACCCTGAGAAGGCCAGTCCTGGGCCCTTGTGCTTGCACTTTCCTAGCCACTTCCTGGAGGTTGTGTGCTCCTATCCCGTTGCTGCCTTTGCTCTGAGTTCCTCCCCCAAAACTCCACACAGAGGGTTTGGGCTCTGGCTTAGTTGGGCCAGAGACCCTGCCAATCATGATAGTCAAGAGGGTTAAGACCATCTCTGACCTCAAGGCTTTTATAGACAACCAGAGAAAAGATGCACCTGGTCGCCCAAATAGAATGACAGCCATATTTATCTGCCGGGGAAGAGGTATAGCTAAGGCTGTAAGGATTGAGGCCATGGGACCACTTTGATTGGGTTCAGTGAGGAATGTAGGATGGAGATGGTGACAGCTGGGCTAGAAGACAAGGATTGGGGAGGGTTCTGATGTGTGGGAATTAGGATGGAGGAGTGAGCTAAAGCCAGACCTGGGGACAGACCTCGGTAATGATCAGCTCCAGCCAACCAAGGTCAGCCCTTGTTCTCGTTCATTCCCACCTGGTCCTAAGCCTCTGTTCACCTCGAAGGGAGGAGCTCTAGCATGGTTTGTGTCCCCTGGGGCTCTGCCCCTAGCAAGGCCACTCAACATCCTAACACCTTTAGGAAGACTCGCTGCATCTTGTGAGCAGACCTTGAATACCCTGCTTCTGAGTAGGAGAGACCGAGCAGAAGAATGCTGACCATTCCTTCTGCTGCCATGTTCTTGAACTGCTTAATATGAAACTTCTCAATTACAGATTGGAAACACTTTTTCTGATATTTGGGTGTTCAGGCATTTGTTTCCCTCAGGACAGATGATGTTCCCAGTGTCAGTCAATCTATAAGAATATTTCAGCATATAGATGACATATCTTGTGCACTACTTAATATGAAACTTCCTGAACAATGCAAATGGAAAAACACATCTGTTTTATTTGTTGTTACACTGGGCATGGTGCCCAGGCTGAGAATTTGCAGCACATAAAGGGGAATTGAAATGGTGTTTTATAAAGTTGTACTTTGTGAGAAGTGTCTCCCGGCATTCCCCCTAGTTTCTGGGATTCTCCCTGGAGAGTGAGATTTCATGGTAAAGGCTGCAGACTTTGCAGAAGGTACCAACGTGGGCAATTGTTCACGGATGTCTCAGGATCCGACTGGCTCTCCTTCATGCAAAATGTGTGCAAGGTCAGGAAAATGCATTCTCTACCATGTCGTTAGAACTTGAACTCCCCTGGAAGCCTTGGGTCTGCATGTTCGATGATTCCAACTGCCCAGGCTTCACAACCTTTTAGTTATCTAATGACCGTAAGCCAAGGCAAGTACCAAGTTCATATCAAGCAGAGCAGCTAAAATACTGGGATGAAGCTGGTGCCTTTTAATTTAGGGATGCATGTATCTTCAAATGCATAGCCATCCTCCACTCTCACCACTCAGGGAGACTTGTCATATTGTTAAAACCCAGCTTGACAGGACAGTGGGGACCCAGAAGTCATCTAGCGCCAGGCAGGACTGAAGTCTATAGCACAGCCAGTAGCCGATGGAATATCTACAATTTAAGGAGTGTGGGAGCTGGAAGCAGACTGGCAAAGGATGCTAAAAACCAAGCACGTGGTGGTAGCCCGGTTCCAGGCAGTCAGCTGACTTGGGGAGGACTTGGTCACTGGCTGGTAATGTGGAAACCATTCACCTCCCTTCCCCATCTCCCTGGAAGGCAGTGTACGGAAGCCAATGGTGACAGAAATTTTAAACTCTCGTCATACCAAGTGTTGGCAAAGATGCAGAGCCACAGTCACTGCTGAATACAAATCAATTCAACCATTTTGGAAAACTGTGTGTCTTTATCTAGTGTAGTTGGAGATTTGTAATACCCTGTGTGGTAGACAAAATAATCCACCCCCCACACACACACCAAAAAAAAATAATAAAAAATAAACTACTTCCTAACCTTGGAATCTGTTCATAAGTTCCCTTACGTGGCAAAGGGAAGTTTGCAGATATTAAATCCTGAGATGAGGAGAATGTCCCAGATGATCTAAGTCATCTCAGTGTAATTGCAAGAGTGCTTGTAAGTGGAAGAGGGAGGCAAGTGTCAGAGTGACATGGCCCGAGAAAGTCTTGCCCACCAGCGCTGGCTTTGAAGATGGAAGAGGTCTGCGAGTCAAAGAACGCAGGCTGCCCCTGAACGCTGGGATAGTGACTTTGCAGTAGTCTCCACTAGAGCCTTCCAAAGGAACCAGCCATGACGACACTTTTGAGTGCCTCCCAGAGACCAGTCTTGGACTTTGGATCCCTAAAACTGAGAAAATAAATCAGTGTCATTTTAAGACACCGAATTTTGGTAGTGATTGCAGCAGTAATAGGAAGTTAGTGTGCCCTATGGGCTGCCATTCCATTCACAGGTGAGTGGGTCCACACGGCAGGAGACGAGTCCACGAAGACCCATGAGAGCACTCTTACACATTGTTGGTGGGAATGTAAATTGGTACAGCCACCTGGAATACAGTATGGAGGGTCCTCAGAAAACGAAAACAGAGAACTGCCGTGAGAGCCAGCGGTCCACTCCTAGGTGTATGCCTAAAGGAAATGAAATTGGTATGATGAAGAGATGTCCACACTCCCAGTCACAATAGCCAAGAAATGGAAATATCCTACACATCCATCAGTGGAAGAATAAAGAACATGTACTACACGTACACCATGGAATACTGTTAGCCATAGCAAGGATGACATCCTGTTACTGTGGCAACGTGGATGGACCTGGAGATCATTATGTTACGTGAAATAAGCCAGGCACAAAAAGGTAAACACTGCACGATTTCACACATATATGGAACCTTAAAACATTGATCTTGTACAAATTCAGAATAGATTGGTAGCTACCAGAGTATGGGGGAGTAGGGGGAGGACAGGCTGGAGAGAGGCTGGCCATCGGATACAAAGTTACTGTCCGATAGGAGGAGTCAGTTCTGCTACTGGGTTGCACAGTAGAGTGAAGACAGTTAAGAATGCATGTACATTTCAAAATAGCTCCAAGAGAGGATTTTGAATGTTCTCACTACAAAGAAACGATGAATATTTAAGGTGGTGAGTCCGCTAGTTGCCCTGATTTGATCATTGCACAATATATACCTGAATGAAAGCATCACACTGTACCCAATAATGACATACAATTATTATGTGCCAATCAAAAATAAAAGAACTTTTTTTTTTAAGGAAGAAAAGAAATACCCATTATACCATGTACATGGAAAATTCTCAGTTAAAAGAGTCACTAATGCCAATGGGGCCAGAGTCATTGGCCAGAGGCTATTCTGTCCTTGAGCTGCCTTGGGCCTGATTTGTCTCTTTGCCCCAACCAGCCAGACAGCCTTTGGTGGCTCAGCCACCATCCTTTCTGCTCTCAGAGAGGGGCCCAGGCCAGCACAGAGGCAATCAGCAGTTGCTAATCAGACAACTGATTAGGCCAGGGCTTTACTCAGGCTGTTTATATACTGTGGAGTCACAATACAGTCCTAGGAACCCTTCTCCCAGCTAAGACAGCTCAGCCTCATACTCCTTTACTAGTCTGCCTGGGACTGTGTGGAAGGCCAGCTATTGGCTCTCTTGAGAAGAATAGATAAGCAACATCTCTGACTGAAGACTCCCCTTTACCCAGCCCACCTGGTGGTGAAGGCGGTGATGGTGAAGAATCAAACTCGGATTTCCTAAGAAGCAGGGCTTAGTCCACGTGAATGGTGACCCCTGGAGTTGTGCAGTGTGCACAATGCTCGCTGTACATAAGAGCTCCATTCATGAGCAAAAATGGGAAAGCAGGAAATTGCTATTTAAAGGACCCTTAATATGTTCCAGGTGTTTTTCATAAAGTTTTTACCCCGTTTTACCAGTGAGAAAACTGACTTAGATTACCAGGGTCACCCAGAGGTAATGGAATTGTAGTATCCAAACCTTAGCAGTCATTAAAATTAAATAAAATGGCCAGTTTGAAATGTTCCCCCATTTGGATATTTCTCTCTCTAGCAGCCTCAGAATTCACCTGTCTTTTAA